GGTTCTGGTATTGCTTACGTATTCAGTAAATTAGGATTTGATACTGGAATAGTTTCACCAATCTTTTTGTTTCCATTCATACCCATACCTTGATCAAAATTGAGCCCAACAGTGGCATCCATGCCATGGGTTGATCGCCCATGAATTAGCACACAAAACAGCTGAGGGACAAGAAATTTAGCCAGGGACAATAGGATAAAAATCAACGTTTATTTAAACTGCCACACAGAATGGTGTCTCATCCAAAAGACCCCTGCACTGGAAACTGCATGGAACACAACATTCATTGTGCACCGAAGTGACTAAATTAAGATTGCCCAGGCACCTTAATCTGTCCCTTTGAGTATTTTCATCCTGATAGTCTTTATTTACATGATCACATGCTGTTTTCCCCCCACCTTGCTCCATGTACAGGATAGACAGTGCTCTCTTAATGAGAAACTGCTCCGTTTCCTCTCCCCACCCACTGTTCAATGGGTGGCATCAGACCTTATTTTCTGGCCACTACAGACGCCCTTCTCTGAAGGTGTCTGAGCACTGCACAAACATTAATTAGTGTATTTTCACACAACCCCCACAAGTAGAGGGTTGAGGTAGTAGCACCCTCATTTTAGAGCTCTGAGGCATAGAGGAATAAAGGTCACAAGTATCTGTTAATTGTGGGTGTTTAATCTGAGATGACTGGGACCTGCTTTTTCAGAGTACTTAGTAATTATATAGTTCCTTATATGTTCAAAGCAGAGTTTCTGTTCCTCCTTGGGACTTCCACTGAAACAAGGATCTCAAATCAGGTCCCAGAACACGACGATAAACACCCAGTGACAACCTGTAAAAAAGACTGGTTTGGATTACTTGCTTAGCAGCACACAGAAATGCTGCAGTTCTCTTGAGGTGCATCTAACTCTTTTAACCAGAATACTTTCTTTTCTTTCTGTTCCTACAGTTCTCTATATAATCTCAAAAACCACATTCCAATTTTTGTAATAGTTGACATGGGTCCCCAGAAAAGGTCTGTCTGTCCTATGCACTGAATGAGGCCAGAGATGCATGTGTGAGATCGTGAATAATCATACGCTGTATCATGCTGAAAAGGAGCAGAACTTGGGAGGCCCCTTAAGGCAGAGCTGAAAAAGCTAAAGATGTGTGCAAATGATGGGTCAGTGACAACAACACTACAAGACTGCAAGAAAACAGTGGGTCCTCTTGTCTGTGGATCCAAAAGAGAAGCCTAGGTTCAAGTGGGCCATGCAGACAGAGATGAGACAAGAAAGGGGTTTTCCATTTCAGCACTGAGTAATTTGTCTGAGCATTTTGAGGTGTCTCATAGCTCTACAGCTTGTCTTGCAAGTAAGGAGTGCACTTCAGCACCCAGGGCTGTCAATCCAACACTTTCTATCAGTACTGAAAGCCACAAATTGGAAAAGTAAAAAAAGATTGTAAGAAATGGGACTCAGGCCCAAGCAACAATAATGTTTCTCTGACAATAGTGTTGGAAAATATAAATCAAAATAAGGATTAAAGGCTTGTGAAGGGAAAAAAAAGAAATGATCTAAGAATCCTATTTGATTGTAGAATAAGCTCCCTCCAGAGCTGGTGCAGTCACCTACCCTGGAAATCTTCAAGAGGAGGCTAGACAGTCACCTTGCTGGGGGCACCTGACTCCTAGTTATCTTTTCTGCTTGGTGCAGGAGGCTGGACCTGATGATCTTCCAAGGTCCCTTCCAGCCTTACAATGTATGACCTAGGCACATTTCTCCAAGCATTTGGAAAGTCTTTTATGTGTGATCAGCGTCAGTGAACGTGTCACTAAAGGTGTGCTCGTGAAAGTAAGCAGGCAGAATTGGAAGAGATTATCCTACTGTCTCATGCTGACAAAGAGAAATCAAACCAGCCTTCTGAGCAGTTACATCCAGTTGCATGTCCGATCCTGCTAATCCTATGCTGCAGAAATAACTTATGTACCACGGCAGTTTTCCCAGAAGCAATAATATCGTTTTTACTGGCATCACAGACGGAACTGGGAGCCCAATGAAGTTTCAATAGGGTGGTGCACTTGCTGTCCGATGGCTGCTTTCTGGCTTTCTAAGTGGGCAGCCATACAAAAAGGATAGCTGATGAGAGCAGCTTTCAAAGCTTCACCATAGATGGGAGACGGATCTGGTAACTAGTGGGGGGGTCTTTTGTTCTGACCAGGTGCACAGCTCTCTGAAGTCTACAGGGAAAATGAGGTGGGGGGAGGGAAGAGGGAGAAAATGTCTCTCCACAGGGTGAGGGGAAAGGATAACAAAAATGAAGAGAGGGAAATCTGAGTTACTAGTGATTCATTTTGCTGCTGCAGTGTTACAGAAAAAGAGTTAGGATTAAGGAGAAAAAAAAGAGCTGAAGTTCAGGAGGGTTTTTTTTTTGCAGAGCAGAAGAGTCTTTAATGGTTAGTGCTTTTTATAAGGACCCAGAATTTAAAAAATATCCAGGCACCTAACAATGCAGATTGGCAATTTGTGGGAATTTCAAAAGCACTTTTCAAATGCATTCAGAAGCCCATCCACCTGCAACTGGAGGCACCTAACTACCTTTAGAAATTTGGCCCAAAGGCACTATAATTGTTTATTGATGAGAAAAGTGTGACAGGAGGGAACAGCAATGTCAGCTAGGAAGACTTTTCCACCCTGCACAGAGGTGCACACTGTGTCTATCCTTTTGTGTTTGTGAAAATGCCCAAAACTTGTTCATACTGGCCACATCTACACAGTCATTAATGCACAGTGGTTACTGTGCATTTAATTTAGTACTTGTATAATAAAGTACTAAATTAATATGTAGTAACCATAGCTACTGCGCAGTAGCGCCAATGCATGCCTTTTTAGTGACATTAATGCACAGTAGCCTAATAATACTGTGCAGCAAAACATTAGCACTGTTTGTGATGTGACCTGCTACTGCACAGTATTATTAGGCTACTGCACAGGAAACATCTTGTGTAGATGTACCCCCCTGTAACCTAATTATTGCTCTTTTTTGTACAGAAGCTCAAAAGCTTTTGATAAATATAAGGTCTCTGTCCAGAAGATCTTGCAAGCCAAAAGACAAAAACAAACATATGCCAACCAGTTTGGAGGGATTTATAGGAAGCAGAGGACCTGCAAAACCAGGATTCAATAACTGAGTAAACAGCCTAGCTGCTGAGAGATAAAGAACCTGAATGTTAAACAGGCTCTCTGTAATTGAGAGGTAAGTGTGGGGTCAGGTGGCAGCACAGGGAGATTCACCTGGAACTTGTGATGGATTTTAATGCTGAATACCATTAATATACATAGGCTGCACGGCTAGAGTTTACCTGCTAACCTAGACACCCACATACTCATGTTTACATGAGCATGGTTCTCCCTCTTTCAAGCAGGGACTGCCTCCTATTGTGTGCTCGCACAATCAGAACAATAGGGCTCTGACCTTGCTCAGGGCAGGGAGGTGCTCCTGCAATATGAATAATGATGGGATAAAATATTAAACGCTACACAAAGCAGAACACCAGGCTTGCAGGTCAAGCAGCATGAGCTGCATTACAGCCCCAGCCTGGCTCCTTGGTTCCCATGGGCAAACATCTGCAGTTGTATGGACCCTCACAGACTTCAGTGAGACTCTCTGCTAATAGAGGCATGCGATGCCATGTCTCTACGGAGTGCCAGCCGGGTACACCAGGGGTGGTTTATGTTTATTGTTAATAATAAGGCCCTACTGAGCCAAGTCTATAGTACAGTCAGTCCTACTCTTCTCTATGGACGTGAAATGTGGGTGACCTACTGTCATCACCGCAAGAGCCTGGGGAGGTATCACCCACCCATGCCTCTGGAAAATCCTCCGCATCAAATGGGCAGATCGCTGCACAAACGCTGAAGCCAGCATTACCGGCACTGAGGATCGGTGATCCTCAAGCACCAGCTTCGCTGGACTGGAGTCTGCACGTGGATTCCCGACTCCGCTCCCCAAGCAGGTGTTCCGCTCCCAGCCGGGACCGGCCTGGGCTCTGGCGCTGGCCGGGGGGATGCATGCTGAAGACTAAAGTACCTCGAGGAAACAGATGCTGACATCAAGAGCCGGGAGGAGCCGCCCCAATGCTACCGCACCCTCAACCAAGCCGGACCATTGGAGGGGAAGTGCCTTGCCCTCGGATTAAAGAGGGAGTGGAGGAAAGGCAAGAAGAGCAATCCGGGCCTGCAGGAAATACCTGTGGCTCAAGGCCTGCACCCTGAGTCGCCTCGAGCCCCGTGGAAGACATCCTCCTCCACGGAGGGATGCGGACTCCCCTGGGCCTGAGCCAGGCACGGTGCTGCCGGCAGCACGGCGCAGCTCACACCCCCGCGGGCGGCGAAGGCGGCGCTGGCAGGTGACTGCCCGGCTCCAGGGGAGGGAGCTCCGTCTGCAAGGAGCCGGCAGCGCGGGGAGGCGGAGCGGGCGGGGCGGAGCCGGCAGCGCTGCAAGGTCCTGACAGCCCGGCGGGCGGGCGGCAGGGGCGGCACGGAGCGGCGCGCGGGGCGGGCGGCG